AGCATACGCCCAGTGATAAAAGCTTCGTGCACACGAGGTTGAAGCGGATCCAACCAAGCAGAAAAAGCGTCCAAAAGCACACCATGCCACGCACAAAAAGCAGTAGAAGCTAGCACAAAAGGGCCCGTGTTGCATGGAGACACGAGGTTTTCCGACCAAACGACACGCAGAGCAGCACGGCGTTCCTCCGCAACTGGTGCCGAAGTGCGAGCAAAGACCGCTGTGGGTTTGCGCTGTTGAAAGGTTTCCAATTCAAATGCTTTGAGGGTGAACGATTCCCCGAAAAAAAGTGCCATGTGATTTCGAAAAATGGAGGGAAGGCTGGTGGGGCGGCTGACACCCAATTTGTGTGCACACATCGCGTTCCAAGTCGATGCAAGCGGAGTCAGATCAGAGAGCACAACAAGAAAATCCGCGGACATCGGCCATGCAGTAGAGGTGGTAGTAGCAGACGTGGGAAGAATGCTGTCATCTCGGGTCCCACTAGACATGGCCAGCAACTCAGGACGCTCCATGCAGAGGGTATCCGCCACAGAAATCACTTCATGGACCGCCGATGCAGACAAAATAGCTTTCGAGGGATGGCGAACGTACGAAAAATCACCCAAAACATCGCGATGGCCTCCGAGGCGCGTATCCTTTGCGAGGTCCCAGTCCCGCGGGCGCTTCGCAAAGCAAACCAGCATCTCTACAGGAGAGGAAGCAGAGCAGAGGCTAAGTCTAGATTCTCGTGGGTGGTGAGACCAAATAACTAGCAACCCGGTGGTTGTGAAAAAAGCGTAGCAACAACACACAGCAGTGTGGAAGCCGCGTCCAGCACCCGCTTACCGTATCCTGCCGCTGACGCCAAGTTTCAGGAGTGAAGCCGTGGGCGGTAGCTTGCTCCTAGGGATAGATAAAGGTTCTGTCGTTGACACGCTTGTCCACGACCGACCACGTTGAGATGGGAAAGTTGCTCGTTATTGCTGAGAGACGATCAGCAAAGGTCTGGGATGACGTGGGAATCCATCTTCATCACAGGGGGTACACAGAGTAGACAATTCTAAGGGGGTAGGGGTCAGAAGGGTATACCTCCTGACCGACCCGCATCCTATCAAGAATAAGATGTACCCTATTCATGCTAGCAGCCACACTCCTTAACACCAGCGTATCGCTACCGACTTCACTGCGTCTTTCTTCGTAAGGTCGACCATTGGTGCGGTGACGGCGGCTAAGTCTGGGATGAATTTCCTGACATAGTTGACCGTTCCTAGGACTGATCGCAAACTTTTGATGTTTGTTGGCGTTGGCAACTCTAGTATCGATTTTATCCGATCTTCACCTAAACGTATGCCATCTATCTGCGGAAAGGTTATGCCCCAAATACTTCACTTCCTTTGGCCCAAATTGTACCTTTGATGGTTTTAATGTAAGACCTGCGACTTGTAGCGCTTGAAAGGTATTTTCCAAAAGAGAGATATGACCCTCCCATGTAGATGAAGAACAACAAATAAGATCATCCATGTACTACTACACTAGAAGACCAGATTTCGGACCGAAATGTGCGAAAGTCAATCATCAATCAATAATGCCATCGCACGTTGAAACAGAAAAGGCGCATTATTGGCGATGCCAAACGGGAGTCGTTTAAAAACCCATTTTCCGTCCCGAGTAACGAATGCGGTCTTGTCTTGTTCTGCTTCGTTCGGCAATTGGTACTTGGTGGTATGCACTTTGTACATCGCAGGCTGTGATGTATTTAGCACCTGCTACCGTGTCAATATGACTTGCCATCTCAGGCATTTTAAAAGGAATGCCCGCCCGACGGTGGCTTGCCTCCTAGATGTAGTAGATGTAGATTCTGCCGTAGACACTCTTGTCCACGAGCACGTTGAGATGGGAAGGTTGCTTGTTATTGCAGAAGCGGGTCTGCTACAGGTCTGAGGTGAGGCGGATTGCCCTCAACCTGGGGGCACGCAGATAGCTAAGTCCCGATGGGGTACGTCCTAAGAGGGTATACCTCCTGACGTCCCCCATCTTAATCTAGACCGACTGTGTACCCTATCTGTGCCATACAGCAACACTCCTTAACACTAGCCCACCCTGAAGATCATCTATACAGATTCTATACTCAAATCCTAAGGCTACTAATAGCTGGTGATTTAGGATCATGAATCGAAAGATATGACTCTTCACAAGTGTATCCAAAGGGAAGAGGAGCTGAAGGAATATCCCGACTCGACCCCCCACACCACCATTGAGACAAAAGGTGATTCCGATGACGCGGAAACACAACTAGTGGCAACTCAATGATACGGTTATACCCATGGAGGGATACAGCTATTAGGCAAGATGTGCTGCAAAGCACCATGTTTTAACACAAAAAACAAAATAAATCAATATCAACGCCACACACCACTCTATTTCGCGCGCAAGCGCGTATTACGACTGGAGGAATGAGGGTGGCGACACAAGAGAGTCCAGAATTACTCCCGCAAAATTCAGTGGGACAGGACGACGGGCACACTACGGCTGAATGCGCTGACCACAAAAGGTAAGACTGAAGAACGTTCATGGCCAAAACGGAAGAGAGGCGTTAATTGCCACCCCAACCAAACTGCACAAAGAAACGTGGAGTCCAAACCATGTAAAACCAATGGCTGGACGAGGCACGAATGATCAAAGTCGAAAACTAATGCGACTAGCCACCCTATATCTCGCACAGACGGGCGATGATGAAACACAAACACACAACAAATCAACGGAAAACACACAAACATGCATACAACACTAGAACTCGGGATCTCGACTATGATGATGTAGTCGACGCCAGGAAGTGACGATGGCGGAAAGAAGTCCAGTGAAGTGGACGATGGCGAACGTCGATGAATGCCGCAGGAGAAGGGGACGCAACGGTATAGAAGTCCGGAGCATGGGGCGTAGTCAACCCATCTCGT